TATATATATACACTCGTGCACACAAACACACATACACTCATACAGATGCCCACAAGCACAATACACAAAATCGACTGATACAAAAACACATTGCACAACAATATCTCCATGGACAATAGTTGACGAACCAGAATTTCACAGAATGTATTGAAAATTATTCAGAAACAGAAAAGTAGCTTCACATTGGTAAGACTCTACTTAATAACACAGAATAAAATATATTGATATCTTTATCCAGAAACATTAGCAACCACATAAGCAAAGTAATAATATTCATAACACATTTTTGAGGACTAGACACATCGCTCTGAGCCTGTGAGTAGGTAATAATGACAATAATAACGAAATAAACATTTTCTGACAAGGATATTTGTGTACATTGACCACAGTAAGTAAAACATATTTTGCAGCACTAGTTACGTTACATTCTGGAAGCAAACTCTTTTTTTCTTCTCTGAACTGTGGTGAAATAACCAATAAATGTTTAAGCAATTCTCAATTCAGCAATTTATTGACGAAATGGCAGCAGTTTTGCGCTCATTTTGATTGCTGTAGATCAATTCTTGCCAACCTGGGCTATATCGCCTACTATTGGGCTATTTTGGTAATTTTGATGGGCGATAGGAATCACAGCTATTATCCAATGGCCCTCTTGGAAATACATGTACATGTTGGTGGGCTTTATAAAAATGTTTGCCTCTTACATATGACAAAAGCGGGCTCTGGCTTAAAAAGAAGTTGTTGACAAGCACTGCTGTAGCTAAGGTACCGAATTCTGTGGCTTAGTTGTTCTGCTCTTCACCTTACGTACAGATAATATGAGTTTGGATTTAGTATGAGGACAGTATTTTTTCTACGGTCGCCGTCTTTTTACTGGGACGCAATTTCCCACACAGCGTGGGATAGCCCAGATAGACTGTGTCGAAGCAGCCAGCCTCCTAAATATCTATGGGGGCTTAGAACATTTACAATATTTACAGTTGGTCAGCTGTGTGTAGTAGATTTCAAAGTGAGGCTGAAACTTTAAATAGGATTCCTTTTGATATAGCGTTGGGTAAACGCAGTTGTAGAATTAGTTGGGATATAATGTACAATTGGCAAATGCACCACTCTCGCTCCGTTTATTTTAAGAATATACATATTCATATATAAACTCAAATTAACGAACACAGACACGTGCACACACACACACACACACACACACACACACACACGCACGCATCATACACTCGCCGATTCACATAAGTGCACGTGCCCCCGGAGGTGGGAATATGTTTTCATAAAGAATATAGTCGTATGTCGATACGATTTGACCAAACGAATCCAATACAGGCCACACTGGGTGGACAATCCAGCGAGAGGGCTGAAAATCCATTCATAAATCCTCAACTTCTTTGAAATCTGTTTGTAATTTTCCCCTTCCTTCTTTCTTCAAACACCCAGCCTCCAAATGTATTCTTCCTTTCTCAGTGCCATCTTTCTTTCCCAATTTCGATCTTAAGCTGAGTTGCTACTCATCCAATTTTTCATCAACTCATTCATTTTCAGCCGTTCATCCGTTTTTCAGCCGCCCACCCCTTTTACAGCAATGTGTATATTAAGTGAGAGCCATTCCGACTAATTGTATATTTTTTTGATTTATTGAAGCGCGTCTAAAGTTGAAGTTTATCCTTGCTGATTTAATTTCAATAAAAGTATACGTTGATCACTCCAGCGTTCTGCTCTGGAACGATCATGCAGACCAAAGAAGTCGTACAAGCGTCTACCCCCACTTTAGTACTTCACGCGAAACTGCGAGAAGAATCCGATTTTCACAGGGTAGCAAACCCGATTTAAGCATTTTGATTCATGGCTTAATTACAGTCACTCCTTGACGGGTTCTCCGAGAGCGATGTGCGAAGCCCTTCAGGTAAATCGTTTCCAGGGAACGCGGCAAGCGAGAATCAGAACAAGAGAGAAAGGCAGGAAATTTGAACAAGGGATCCAGCGGGTTAAGTTAATTACCAGCCCACGGGTAATCGAGGGACTTAATCAAATCCTTGTTTATTTTATTTTGGAAAAAAAAAGGGGCGAGACTGCAGCGTGAACGGATGCGAAAGCAGGTCATTTCTACTTCACGTCCCACTCCCCCCCCACCCCCCATGTTATAGAGCTTACAAAACGTCTCAATGATTCTTATGAAATCCACATAACCTTTTGCCTTATCAGTTAAACGTTTACTCCAATGGTTCGCCTTCTATCAGGTCAATGTATACTTGTATTGCGTAACATGTTTCAATAGGAAGTCTTTTCCAGTACTCTTGGAGATATGGGATCAGACTACAATTGCGTGTTATTCTGTGAAACAAAACTTTAAAAATATGAGCTTTACTTAGTCTGATAGTTATAGAGAAGTACAAAGACATAATAGCGGACGGATTTTTATTTCTTTTTTTGTTGTTCTTTTTTTTCTAGGGAAAAAAGCAATACGGACAGACAGAACCTGTCAAGAGAATTATTTTTTTTTAAAGTAGGACCTCCCAGCGGGCTCCCCAACACCGGCAAAATACACACATTCGTACTTTCAGTCAGAAAATTTCAACAAAAATCTTCATTACTTTTTCCTTGATACTCCTAATTATTTCCTTTTGTTGTCAGAAACTATCAGAATTACATGTTAAGTTCGTAACCTTGTATTCCCTCTACGGTAGGATATATCCAGGTGGACATGTTGGCTTTACCAACACCTGAACAACCATTCTGTTATTGTGTTAAACATTGTGTATACTGGCAACATTTGGAAATAATAGTAATAATGAATATTGAACAGCATTTGTATAGCGCACACCCGTGCTCAACAGCCAGCTTTATAAACCTTACAATCCAAGTAATAACTTGTAAATCACACCTTTATATTAGCTAGTTCATTACATTATAGCAATGTTGTTTGCGTCCGTTTCGGATCTGTAAAGCAGGCTCAGCATTCAAAATGGTAGCTCTACTTTGGAATCATAACATCCTGCTAATACTAGGTGCCCATTGTGGGATCGGGTTGAGTCTGGTCGGTTTGCTAGCCAGATTGCAGGGCGTAGAGTGGCTATC